GTAAATATGTATTTATTATTGCTACACTTTGCTCTTAAGCCATCTTCCCTAATTTGTTCTCATGGTGACGTTGTATTTGTTTTGGTTTTGATGCACTTTCCGGTTGATTGCATGTTGTTTGCTCCAGCTGCAGCACTGAAGAGTTCGTTTGACACTTTAGTTACTCTTCAATCATTATAGATTTTTTTTAAATATTTTTTAGAAGAATTCCACGGAGACAGTATACTGCCTTTCGGTTCGGCAGCGTAAGACTTATTTGCGTGATTGTGGTACCGATGTACAGGGTGTTCGAAAATCAATATAAGATTTAAATTGTTTGCAAATCGGCTGCTAACAGTTTAAGCTTAATAAAAATGCAGCATTACAATATAGAACGACGTGTCTTCATCATTGAATGATATTTCAAAAATAATGAAGGCTTTGACGTAATTTGAAAATTAAAAAAAAAGGTAAATAGTGTTTTAACTTCGTCAACTATGAAGAGTTTAGTTAGCTCAAATGACAATATCGAAGCAGTGCATCAGATATAGATAGCTCTCTACAGCGTCTACTCACGAAAAATTTGTGACTCAATGCTTACAAAATTCAACTGAAACAAAAACTTAAGCCTAATGTCCATGAGCAGTGATGGGAGTATGTTGAAAGGATGACTGCTGATTTTTCGAACAAAATCATCACAAGCGATGAAGCATATTTTCTCGAAAAACAAATGGATCCACAACGTGTCACTGTTTTGTGTGAATTTTGAGCTAAAGGCACATTCGGACCATGATTTTTTGAAAAGGAGACTGGTCAAGTAGATACTGTTACTCGTTCTCGATATCGTGGCATGATAACCCAGTTATTTTTGCCAAAAAAATGTATGATATTGATGTGGCCAATATGTGGTTTCAACTCGATGGGGCCACATATCAAACAGCCCCTGAAAACTTCAATTACTTCATGAGGCATTTTCAGGTGCCTTTTATTTCGGTATGTAAACGTTGAATAACTTTCACATTCACCAACCGAGCGATTGCATCAGATATGTTTTGGTAACGTCAATTCAGTAAAATTTTTGCCATGAAACGCTTCACACAGAAACAACGCGCGGAAATAGTGATACTTTACTTCGAAAACCGTCGTTCCATTGTGTTGACTTAACGTGCATATGGGAAAAAATTTCGGTAAGAAATATCGGGAAAAAATATCGTGACAAAAAGGCATCATCTGACAGATCACCTGATTTAACTCAGCCGGACTTAATTTGGTGGGGTTATCTTAAAAGCAAGGTTTACGCAAACAAGCTTCAAACTATTGATGAGCTTAAGAAAAGGTTATGGCAAACGCAGAAAAAAAGAGTAATTTTCTAATTGCTAATAAAGTAAGCCACTTGACTGATATTGTTTTCCAAAACTGGTCCAAAAAAATTCTACGGAAAAAACTGAATAAAACAAACATCACGTACAGAAATAGGTGGTTTTTTCTCGAAGAATGTTCTGTGTTTACATACCGATATAAAAGATCAAGAACATCTCTCATTGTGGTGGTCAGAGTGATCTAGGGAGGCCAGATCGTGTGATTTTACACCATAATGTCGACAAACGAGTGGGTATGTATATGAAATGCCGTGAAGACCGTTTGTCCAATGTATTATAACATAATTAACCTTATTCTATATACTTTATATATATTGATGAGTGTATAAGTTCGTGCCCGATTTCAAGTGCAAACTAAAATTGAAATTTTTCGAAGAAAGCGCTTTTATTAATCAATTGTGTATTCGCCATCATGTTCGGCAATCCATTCCCAACGTTCAACCGATTTACGGATGCCTGATTCATAGAAATCGCGCGGTTTCTCGTTGAAAAAGGTGTCAAGGTGGTTTTTGACGTCTTCCACATTTTTAAATTTTTTTCCATTCAAATTGTTCTGCAGCGATCGAAACAAATGATAATCAGAAGGTGCAATGTCGGGTGAATATGGGGGATGCGGCATGATTTCCCAATTCATCTCCTTCAGTTTGGCCAGGGTCGGTTTTGCAACATGTGGCCTGGCGTTGTCATGATGGAAAAGAACTCCTTTGCGATTGGCCAAAATCGGACGTTTTTCATCAATTGCTTTCTTCAATTCGACCAATTGCTGACAATACTTGTTGGCAGTGATCGTTTCTCCAGCTGGCAAGAGCTCAAAATAGATCACGCCTCGGATATCCCACCAAATGCACAGCAGTACCTTCATCGGATGCAATCCACCTTTCGACATCGGTTCCGCCCCTTCGTGTGCCTGTTTCCATGTTCTTTTGCGTTGAACATTGTTGTACAGGATCCATTTTTCATCACCAGTCACGAGCCGATCCAAAAAAGGTTCGTTTTTGATCCGTCGAAGCAAAGAAATTGCTGTTGACATACGGTCCACTTTGTTTTTTTCACTCAACTGATGTGGCACCCATGTATCGAGCTTCAAAGTGTACCCAACCTTTTTTAAACGACGAAACGCAGTTGATTTGTTGACGTTCAATTCACTGGCAACCTCTTCCGTCGAAATACGTGAGTTATTCGCAACTAAAGTCCTTAGAACATCGTCATCAAGCTCAGAAGGCCGTCCACTGCGAGGTTGATCTTCGAGGTTAAAATCTCCAGAACGAAATTTCGCGAACCATTTCTTTACTGTGCGGAGTGCTGGAGCACGGTCCAAATAAACTTCGCGAATATCTTTAGTTGCAGCGCCTACTGTTTTTCCTTTGCGGAATTCGTATAACATAATATGACGCATATGATCTTTTTCGTTGTCCATCTTCCATGCGTCTTTTCACTAAGCAACTCAAATCAAAATGAAGTTATTTTATGCTTGATTTACAGTTCGGACTGTCACCTTTCCAACGATATATAATATGTATATATTTCTTTCACGAACGCCACTCTCAAACGATTCGAACGGCATCCAGCGGAATCGGGCACGAACTTATGCACTCATCCAATATATTATATCGAATATAATATCGAAAGACTAAAAACTGTGTTTTCTATTTGATCCCAAGCTTGCTTTAATTTTCGGCAGTTTCTAAATATTTTTAAAAGCAATTTCTCTGCTCAACCTTTAACAACGATTTCGGATCAAGTTTCCTGCAAAGGTTTAAAGAAACGTTGGCTGAAGGTAATTAGTATGTTGATTAAATATATTTGGCTCTTAATTTCTTAATATTTTCTGGCACCAGTTTGAGGTGTAATTGATTGAGAAGACATCACAGAGGGTCGTAGGAAGTGATGGCTAAATTATCATATTTTGCAGAAGATTTGTCTTGCTTTTGAGTATTTTTTCTCCATTTAAATAATTTACTAGTGAAATGGAAAATTACACTTTGAGTATTTGTTAATGATTTGATAAATTTTTTGTCATTTTACTACTACAATAAATATAATTGAGCAGCTCTGCTTCCATTTCTTGGCCAACGAAGTGGATACACTTGATTCATTTGAATGCAGGTCAGCAGGACAAAGCAACTTTATTCGGACCAAGAGTCTTAGGCTGAAGGAAATTCGTTTGCTTTTAGCAAAAGCGAACCGTGGATGGGCAGAAACAAAGTTATATTTCGAACATTACATATTATTTGACGAATGATGAAGCAATTTTAAAAGCGTTGAACAATTAGCTACCATAGATTATGGACACCCTTAAGATACTAAAATATTTAGCGAAACGTTGGGCGAAAAGTGGAATAAATTAGTTTTATTAGCACTAACCAAACCAGTTCTGCTAAGATTAATTAATTGATTAAATCTCTAAATTACTTGAATTGATCGTTTAACAAAAATTAATAAAATTATTAAAAATATTGGAGTTTGTTTTATTTACCTTTGCGGAAACTTGACGAAAATTTCCTTGGTAACCATGCAACACCAAATCATGCAAAATATTCACTAGAGGCAAATATGTGTATCAGGATACACCATCTCCGAAATCATCAGAATTCCGAGATATGTAGGAAATTATGGTGATGAAAGCGTATCCATTAGAATATTAAAGTTATGGAAGAAAGATATCTAGATCGATGGAATTGTCTCATAAAGGCAGATTACTGCTGCATTGTAAGTACTCGAATATCTGTTACTTTGTTTCTTTTTTTAAGAATAAACAAGAGCAAATTTTATAAAATCATTGATCGTCTTATAAATTGGGCGCATAAATATATTCAGATTTAATTTTGTATCTAGAAATACAAAACCACTGTAGACCAGTGTTATATTTCCAGCTATGCACATACAACTGGTTACCTCGGTGGGTGCAGTACACCAGATTTTGAGAAAATTGAACAAATTTTTAAACGCTGGTGTATTCCTGAAGATTGTTAATAATTTGTCGGTATTTACTTCCATACATCTGGTAATTCTCTCAAATTGTAGCCGGAATGTTGTTGTTAAATCACCTATATTTCGGAATTCAGTAATTATATTTTTCAGAAAATTTAAGTAAATAAATTAATAAAAAAATAATTGTGAGAGAAATCACTAACTGGAGTAATATATGATTGTAACATAATTTTCATAGTAAATAATTATCAATATTCTATTGGGCACAGAATCATAGGCGCCGATACATCAGCCCTCAACAACAAGGCCCTAGCCAATATATTTAATCGGCGATGACTCTTTCGTGATCGAAGTCAGCGTGGAAGTTCAATCATACGGTAGAAACTGTTTCCCGTCCGCAACTTGCCGAGAGAAGTCACCCGCGTGTCACCCGTTAGAGTATTCGATGAGTCACTGAGACGAGTCGCTTTGGCATCTTTGGAAGAGTCTTACAATGATCGCAAAAAAGATTGATTAACGATTATAAACTACCTAAAACTATGTTTCAAAATAAATGGGCTTTGATTTGACATTTTAATTTTTTTATATTGTAGTTACGGTCTGACCCTTTTCCACTGGAATAGCAGCTACGATGTTAGATCGCGTGAAGTAAACCGACATCATTACTTTTTCCTGCTGATTTTTGTTGCTTAGATTTTATGGGTGGACTTGCTCCTGTTGGGCTCCATACCATGGATTGTTGTTTGGTTTCTGGATAGAACCAAGATTCATCAACGGCAACGACTTTAAAGTCACTATACTGACCATTTTCAAGTTGGTTGACGAAAAACTGTCCAAAACGTACTCGAGCCTCTTTTTGGGCCTGATATAAAATTCGTGTTAGATTTCTTCGTGTATCCCATTACTTAATATTCGCTATTCACCAGGGCTACAATGTCGTCATCAGTGCAAGATTTTGGTTGACCTTCTTGGGCCTCGTCCTCTATGTAGAAGTGTCCGGTCTGGAATCTTCGTAATTACTTAGAAATAGTCCTTAAAGACGGTGTAATCGTTCCATATGCAATTCGGGATCCACCGAACATTAGTTTCAGCTGTAAATTACGCTGAAACCCGAAGAGAATCAAATGGCGAATTTCTGTTTGCGTTGCTGGTGAGATTTCGTCCTACCTGTCCTTAGCTATTTTGCATTCTCTCATCTCCACTTTAGTCGATCATTCTAGTATGCAAAAGAAAAGCTAATAAAGTAATTGCAAAGGATTTGATATTTTTAGAATTAACAAACACAATTTGAAACTCACCAACTGATCGAACTTTTTTTAATCCCCTTGTATTTAGTAAGTAAACAATCAAGGCAAAACTTGCGAAATTTACCAATTGAGCTGCAATTTCATCATTCCCTCTCATATTTCCAACAAACTGCTTTAATTCTCAAACTGTTTTTAGTGGCTTTGTTTGTAAATTTATTGCCACTTCGTGAGTAGAAAACTACTTTCTGCAGTATATCGCTTGGGTAAAAATTGCTGTTTCTGCGATACAGTCGACAGACAAGTTATGGCTTTCATCATTTTTTTCACTGATATTTTCAATATGTTTTAAATTTTTGGTGATCGCTATTTATCAAATTGATTCTTTTCGTGCTGCGCCTCTTGTTTTTTAACTTATATAACACAAGGTAAATCTACATTGACCAACTCCTCCTAAGCCATCAAGCGCCAAATGGGGCTCACCTGCTGCAACAAAGAATAGAGATAAGTTGAAATTGAAGAGAAAAACATTTTGCCCAGCAGCTGAGAGAACGTTTAACTATAAAAGCCCGTGAAAACACCGAGAAAGTGTTAAGATACACCAGCAGAGACTTAACAACTTGCTAAATCTTCTATTTTATTCATATTTTTATTATAACGCTAAATGTATCTAAAGATAAAGAGTGAGTATAAGAGTATATAACTACATATGTACATTTCTATTTTCTTTTTTAAGATGACATTAGCTACAATTGTTGTTTTCCCCCACCTATTACCTTATATTCTTTATTATTTTTAATATTTTTCAGGTATTTAGTGAGGAAGCGTTTGTATAAAAGACACATCCGAAATGTGGAGCAGTCATTTGGCGGTGCAATAATAAAAAATATGCAATAGATATAAGAGGAAACAGTAGCGGAATGTTTCAATTTTTAAGTTATGGTAGTGGAAAAATCTGTGTATGTGTATATATCTACATTCTTCAGTTCTACCAAAACCAAAAAAAAACTGCAGCTTAAATTCTGAGTTATCCCAAGCCTAATACTGATTTGACGGCCGCGGTAACCGAGTGGTATGATCAACATCCAAAAGTTATAGAAAATTTATTGAAATTAAATAAGTAAATAAATAACAATAAAAAATAAGTTAAATTTTCTAAAGGCGGTCGCCTCTCGGCAGGGAATTTTAACTCCCCCGTGTGTATTTCGGACATGAAATAAAGCTCCTCATAAAAAACCATCACCTGTTCGGATGAAGCTTAGTCTAAACTGTAGGCCCCTCTATTTGAAGGAAAAACATCGAATTGGAGGACGTTCCAAAGTGCCAATTACATATAGTATTGATTTATTATTGTAAATTTTGACACATTTGACGGTAATTACGAAATATAAAAGCTATTTTTATCATTAAATCAGTAATTGATGCAACAAATTATGGTCAAAATTTAACTACTATGTTTGAGTTTTTGTACGAACTCAGTATTACTTCCCCGAAACTAGGCCACCTTAAGCTAAAGTTTTGGGGACTTTAGAAGGCATGGGATATAGCTCCTAACCAAGAGCGGCAGGAGAGGACTCGGCTTACAGGGCCTGTTGCATTTTATTTGAGGATGGTGTGAATGGTTATGAATTAGTTTACTTTTGAGCTGGCTTGAGTGATATAAAGTCAACTTAGTAAACATGGGTGACACCTAATTGAAATGACTGGCAGGCTAAGACCACAATTTTCATGGTCTTGTAGTATGTTCGCCATTAAATTGACCGTACAGGCCCATTTGAAACAAGCTCGTGAATAGCGCATGACTGGCTCTGAACACAAACTACTACCGTTTCTTTGACAAGGCGAATGTACAACATCAACCAAGAAAATAATGTACAGGTGGAATCCAAGGCAGAATTCCGCGATAGAAAACCATACTCCAACATTAGCAAAATCTACCTCTACTCTATAGAAGCCTACGAGACAGAAATTTTATGTGGAAAATGCAACCAGCAGAGGAAGAGGCAGAAAAACGTCAGAATCGGCGGTAAAATGGGGTATCGTAGCTGGTAGACCTCTTCCATATTAGTAAAAACAACTAAAGGAACTGGGCGATGTCTGAAGAGAAACTGCAAGTATGCAAGTCTGCAATCAACTGCGAACCGAGCAGCAGCGCCTCCTGGCCACCACATCCACTAGCTTTGCTGAAGCGCGGTTTTTGGCACGTCTCCGTAATTAATAGCCAAGAAGTGGAAATTGTTACCCAAATGGAGGCCAAATATGGCCGACGAGCGCCAAAAAAACTACTGAAGGTGTCCAAAAACTGTCAGCTCTGGAAAGCCAAAAGAAAATATAAAGAGTTAAAACAGACAAAGACAATAGAAAGCCGTCAAAATCATCTACAGATGTTCTCAAAATGAAAGGAACCCCCAGGCGACTAGCCCAAATTTCTGTGAAATACAAAAGAGTACACCAAAAGAGACTGTCACACCAATCGGCTGATGTCATCCAAAAACCAGTAAATATATGAGACCCTAACAACTAAGGTAAAAGTCGCTCATGGAATAGAAAATGTTCTGGTCGAAGGTTATGAGTTCTATGCCACAAGACGAGACATGTGGATATGTGGAACGCCACCTTGAAGTAATTTGAAACTAGTTCCCTACAAAAACTATTGTTCATCTCTCCTTCAATAAGGGCTAAGGGTTATTTTCTTCAGAGGATGCCATGTGCATATCTCAGAAAGTATATATATTTGTTGTTTATTGGACTTTTATTTGTCTATGTATGTATGTATGAGTAAAAAGTAAGTATGTATTTTATAGAAATATCACGAGGTTCTTATATTATACTTTCAATATATTCTACTTTAAATAAATTAATTTTAATTTTTCTTTATTATAACATTCATAAACATGAAATGATATTGTCGTCAAAGCGAATAAGAGGGCAATGCAAAAGTATATAAAAGCGCGAATGTAAATATAATTTTTTTAGTTTCTGAAAAACAACAAAAGTGAAGGCAGTGAAAATTACCAAAAATCCACAAATCAACAACTACATCGTTGGAGAATACAAGACTTAAGATCACAGGTCACATATAAAGATTATATCAAACACACTAACCATACCCATTAAAAATATATTGTTATACAAAACAATTAACTTGAATTGTTCTCACACCAACACATACAAATAGGCATATACATATTAATAAATAAAAACATATTTATAAAGTGTAAATTTAAAATTTCTTCTTCTTTTTATCCGACACTCCGACGATACTTTTGTCGATCCAACTAGACAGATATATTAATTTTGGTCAGAAGTATGTAAGAACCAGGAGGAGAAGAGGGTGACCTATCAAAATTTATACCGATACCATCAGCATGACGAGCTATAAGGTTTTTGATTTAAAAAAAAGCATTTAAGAGCCTGAAATTTGAAATTGACACTTTGCTAAAAAAAATTTAGCGCTCAGTAAATTTTGATACTATTTCGTATTCTGAGTTCGCTGTCAGCCTGTAAGTTTTGTTATCCGCGAAACGAGTTTGTGTTGTTAGTTCGAGAAATAATAAAAACCAAAAGGTGTAGGCATATTTTACGTCTGGAATTCAATGAAGATGAAGAAAAAAGTGCAAAGGGCGCATGTTAAGAAGAATGCGAGAAAAAAGGAAGGAATTTCATACAATTTTCAATTTTGGTCGTCCTGACACATTTTCCATAATTTGGTTCAATTATTTATAACTTAATAATCAAATAAATTAAACTTATTTATTTTGTTGTGCACCGTCTTCTATTTCGATGTGAATATTCTTCTTTTTACTTCACCAAGTGGCAAATGCAATTTGACATGGTCGTGAAAGCAGTGCTGCCAAAGATTTTTCCAACAATGTAACCTGTGCGCAAGAATGCCAAATTCAATTTCGGGTGTCAAAGAAAAATAATAAAATTTCCCTTCCCGGTAACATTTCATTTTATTATTTATTTTTTTTATTTTATTTTATCTTTTGTTATTTGATCAGGTGTACAACTTTACTTGAGTGTGGACAGTGCCTAACGAATTGTCATCGCCGTTTCAGTGACAGTTGTTTTTGTTTTCATATTATTCACGCTCGAAAATGTCCGTTTATATGCGTAATTCTCACCATTTGCGGGAAGTTTTACTTTTCTGTTACGATTCGAAAAAAAATGCGGCTGAAGCGCATCGAATGCTCTCAGAAACTTACGGTGATGCTGCTCTGAGTGAAAAAACGTATCCTTGCACATCGGTGATGTCAGCCTTTAATTTTTTGAGGACATCAACCAACTGGGCAGGGGCGCTGGACATTCTAGTTGCATGCCCTCAATTCGTAATCCCTAAAACATTTACGGGGATCGTCATCAAAAGGGGTGTTCCTCATCCGAGGCATAGTAAAATTTTTCATTGGAGTTTATTTATTTTGTGGTGGGTGCCAAGCCCTACGCATATTTGCATGAGATTCCCCTTCTCATTTAAGCTCGCCTCCAAGCGGATGTTTGTTGACTACCCAGGGAATACTTTGCCTAAGACCGGAAGTCGTGAGCTGCTTGAACCATATGCAAAATAACCGATCTGGTCACTCCCATGCAAAAAGAAGTCAAAAACATTGCCCATTATCCAATATAAACACATTTGTGAAAGTATATATTTAAGCTTATTAAAGTTTTAACTGTTCAACACTGCGTTTACAAATTGCTTTGTGGTTTTAAATCCCTTCACCTCCTTTGTGTGAATAAATTGTTGCTTAATACCCATAAAGAATACAGTTAAAGCCACTTTGTATTTTAATTACAATTTAACCGCAAAGATGCCATCATGAATGCAATAATTAATGAGATTTTACACGCGAAGATGATTACTGAACCGAAAGGATTAAAAAATAAACAAAATAGCGAAATATATTTATTATTTGTCTTAAAATCTTTTTTACCAAAGTCTAACATAATCAACCAGTTTGATTGATTTTGTTTTAAATGCCATACCTTTTGGGTATTATAAAATATGAGTTGCAAAAATGTGTTTCCTTAAAATTGAATTAATTTAATTTTATTTTAATTAATTTTATAATTTTCAATTTAATTATTTAAAAGTAATTCAGTTTAGTAGTATTGTAGTAGTATTGTACTAAAATTCCTTATTATGTAGCCAAAGGTAATGCTTATTGGGTTTCACCAAGTTAAATACAAAGATAACTACTTGCGTAAGATAAATCGATTCGTCTAGTGGTTCCTCCTAATTTGAAAACTGTAGATCTTGACAGATAGCAGCGTTAATACCGATTAACTGCGAACTTAATCAGATTTCAATTTGTAGGTGACAGACAGCAGCAATGGCAGTTAGTGAAATTAGCAAGCAACTGATTGAAATTTTATAAATAGTCCAAGGGGTTATGACGTATGCCAAGGGTATACTAAATTTAGAGAGGGAACATTTCTCCAGCTTGCTGAATGGCAGTGAAATTGAAACACCCGGAGAAGTTG